AAAAAAAAAATTCAAGCAAATGCTTAACTCCAAGGTAGCAGATATACTTCAGTGAGCATCAACTTAATAAGTTAAAAATAAAACAGTTGGGCTTAATTGTAGAATATACAATGTTAGATAAAACATTGATATAATCAGATTGCTCGGCTATTGAACGACATCTCTAATGCCAAATAATAAAATCATCTCTCCCTAAAATGAAATAATGCAATTAAGTTGCTCTGACATCAATAAAAGAAATAAAATTTCATTGATATCAAAATAATCAAGATCTTGATGATAAGGATTCTCTTCTTGATATTCTCCTTTCTTCTTCGCTTCTATTTCTATTTTAATTGCTAAATTATTCCTTCAATCCACTCTTAATGAAAGAGCAGAAAATTATGTTTTTAAAGAGAGAAAGGTAGAAATTGAGGTCAATTGCTGGTAGAAATCAAGAGAATGATTCATGAATCATCAATTTTTAAAAGTTGGAAAATCCAAAAAGTATAGATAGCTATCAAGAATGAAAGAAAGGAGAACTCAACATCTAGGAACTTGTGCGTAGAGAAATTGGGAAGGAGAGAGGAACCATGAGCTGAGAGAAAAGTAGTATTCTAGGGAATCTATGAGGAAAAATATGATGAAATAAGACGCCTATATTATAAAGCGCCAATATCCCTATTTATATAAATAAGAGGACATAAAAAAAATCTAAGTGATTTAAATATATTTAAGATACATCCAAAATATAAATAAATCACGTTGACAAAAGTCCAGGACATTGATTTTTTCTTATTCATTGAGAATAAGATACATGACAATATATAGACAACTGGAGGAAGAAAAATGAGAACTTATCAACACCAAAATAGGAAAAAATATATAAAGCATCACAACTCTTGATCGGTAGTTATATTTGAGCAACAATAACTTCCCTAATGTGATGTATAAGACAAGATTTGAATTCAAGACTTCCTGTTATACAATCTCCATAAAAGTCAAAATGTCCTGAAGTTTCCAATTAAAGTTGTCATGACTCCCACCCAGAGACCTCCTAATTTTTATTTTGTTAACACCAAGATTTTCAACACCCCACAGCTCAAGCTAGAGAATGCAAATTTTCAACTGCACTACTACACCCCTTGATAGACATCTACAAGCTTGCGATCTAAAGGTACACAAATTTCAATTGAAGCTTATTTTATACATATGGATAGAAATCAGAAAAGATTACATTATTAGATATATAAAATTTTCTAGGAAAATAGCACTTTTTCTTGTAGAAGAATAGCTGAGAGCCACAAAATTAATAGCTTTGGGTCTAATTTAACAATATTTAGACAACAAATATCTACAAAAGAGGAGTAATCAAAATTCAAGATAAAAGACCATTAGAGTTTCTAACATGTGGATGGAAATCTGTAAGGAATTCCATTGAAGCCTTACCAATGTTTCATAGCTTCCTACTAAAAAGACTTGAGAATATTCCAATGATGAAACAATAATGACTGAGTGCTATCATAGAATTGGAATTTTTTTTCCATTTAACAAACAAGTTTTGTGCGGTTTATTTAAGAAGTATGATCATGAATAATGTCTTCCTTTGGAAAAAGGAATTCAAGGATGGATTGAATAATCTTTTGTGTTGTTTGACTTGAATTTTTTAATGTTACTCCAAATTGATTTTGAATCATGTGGTGGAAATTTGGGTTAATGCTGCTAAAACCAATTTTTTGTTTAATCAAAGCTACCCATGTAGCCTTGGTAACATGATCCATAAGGGCAACAAACCATCGGGCTCCTAAAAATATTTGAGATTTTGGATAATCCCCCCAATGTCACTATGGATAAATTCAAAAGTATGAAAAGTATTTTTTTTATC